GGGGGGGTCGCGTCCGCTGCGCATGCGCGTTGGGAGATCGGGCAGCGACGCGCAGAAAGCGACGGCGCATGCGCGGAACGCCCACAGCCGCCCACCTGCGCGCCGCCATTGCGCACGCCCGGAGAAGGGGGCAAGAGCAGGCGTGTGCGCACGCGCAGAGGTCTGCTCAGGGAAAGGTCTAGGTGGTAGAAGTCTCCATAGGTAAAAATTATATTTCATTTTGCGCATGGGGTGCTGTGGTGGGTGTTTGTTCCTCTGGGCTATGGACGTAGAGGAATATCCACCAACAGCAAAGTTTATTTTTTACCTGTGGGGACTTTTACCATCTTGAACTTTCCCCCAGCCTGAGGAAGGGCGCATGGGCCCAAAAGCTTGCAGAAAAAGATAATTTTGGGTATTGCCTCTGAACCGAGAGGTCTAGAGTTTTGCATTTCTTTCAGCGTGGAGGCAGGGGTTTTGCATAGGTTGCAGCTGTGTTGGTCGAAGGACATAAGCAGACAAGGTGCTTTGGGTAAAGGTGCTATCTTGTATTAAACCAACTCAGAGTTGGAAAAGTTCTTTTCAATATGGAGCCAGGCTGTGGAGCCCACTGGAGGCAGGCCATAATTATCAGTCATTTCTTTGTACCATCCTGCAGCAAATCTGGACCTGAATCCCATTGTGGCAACTGCAGGACAAATCCACAGCGCAAAGATCAGAGAAAACAGATGGTTGGGGAGGGAATACCAGGCAAGTGAGAGACTATTAGTCAGTTTAAGTTGCCCTCATCCAAGAACATATTTCATTTGAATTGGAGACTAATTCCCAGGATCCGGGCCAGGTTTGAGTTCATCCATCTGCCTGCCCGTCTGCTGCCCTAGGCTGTCTAGCAACCCATCTAGGCTGAGTTTTTAGAGGTCACGTTTCTACGTTTTTTTTCTCTGCAACCATAAAAACAGGGGAGGAAAAAAAAAAAAAGTCAGGAGCTCGAAGAGAAACATCACTTATGACTAGGCTGATATAGCATATGCCCAAATTCTGGATCTACCTCCTGACAGAGATTTACACACAATGTTAACTATGCACCTACAGTCCTACAAAACTCTTTACCTGTCTGAACCACGGTTTTGAGGCTTGAGGCACCCTTTGAAAAACATCAGTCTTTGTTTTCCCCTGTTTTCTGACTACAGAAAAATAACGGAGCAATTTTCCTTTTGCAGATGACTTGGAACAGCCACAAGAAATACTTTTAACGCTGGAGTCCCTATTTGAAATCTCTGGGGCTTTCTTGTGAATCACGTTTGCACGCATCACAGCATTCGTTAACGTTGTACGGCTTTCTGGAACACCCCTGAAAGGATCTCAAAGCACCCAAGCAGCCATGCCACCCCGGTTGAGAATCACTCGTCTATACCATGAAGGGCAGCTAGTTTCAAAGAGAGCAGCAGTGCCACAGTGGGCAGACGTAGCTGTAAAACAGTCCTTCAATGACAGCACAAATAGCATACCCCCTCCCCCAAGTTACTTCCTAGCAGCAGCGGGACTCGAACCCGTTGCTGCCACCACACTGGCGTCCAGATCTTGCCATTCAGCCGCCACACTGCTGCCTGTCGCCTATTGGTCCGTTTCAAACACACGCCTGACCCGCTCAGCCAATCGGCGCCTCCCTCCTCCTCCTCAGCGCCTGCTCGAAGCCGAGGCTTCGGCCTCGGCCTGCTGCGGTGCCTCTGCGCGTGCGCAGTCGCGGGATGCGGTTTCACCGCGCATGCGCCTTGCCTCCCCGCCCGTTGAGCCGCCTCCCTGAGCGCGGCGCATGCGCAGCGGGCGGGACCCGTGTGGTGATCGCGGGCCGCGCGGCGCGATCCCCGGAGGCGGCGGGAGAGGCCGCCCGAGCATGGGGCGCTGCTGGGGCC